GCGATAGAAACACAATTTCCAGAAATGCAGGAATCGGGCTGACATCACCCTGCGTCTGAAAAGTCAAACCCTCATTAGGTGTCAGCGGTTTGCTTCCTTGGGATGCTGTTGACAGGAAAATGAGTCATTGCGTGTCCCCTGTCTTTGAAGACTGTTAGGTACTTACTAAGGGCCAGACTGTGCTGTCTGATATTTTTATGAGTCACGGAATCTACGGTGAGAGATACAGAAGGTGCTGTGCCCCGGCCACGGCCCTCGGCTCGCGCCTCTACTCTGCACCTGACTCAGCCTGTGTCAGGGCAGCTTGAAAAGCCCAGGGCCGGTTAGAGGGATCCATCCCCCTGGAGGCAGCCGCCTCCCATCAGGGTGAGAAGGGAGTGGATGGAGGCCCAGCTTCCTTCCCCCGGCTGGGGGCTGGGATCGCTCGGGGTGCTCTCACCGCAGTGCTGGTGGCCTGGAGGACACTGAGCTCCCTCTCCTCTGTGAAGCATTCCGGGTCTTCTGGAGAATCTAACCAGGGCAGTGGGCTGAGTGCCTCAGGAGCTCCCCCCGGTCCCGTGAGCCTGTGCTCCGAGCTGGGTCACCAGGCTGGTCAGGAGGGGAGGAAACTCCTGCCCCTGGGAAGGTGCAGGGAGACCCGCCGAGTCCCCCAGGGGCCCCGCCGAAGGGGCTTCAGAAAAATGAAAAGATGAGCATAACTGCACTTACCAAGGCGGAGACGACCCTTGCCAAGTGCCCACTTCTGCACCCTCCCACCCAGTGACCTTGAGGCAGGCACCAACGGAGGCAGGGACTGAAGAGCACTTGACCTTGGGCAGAACAAATCTCCTGGGCCTTGGCGTCCTTATTTGGAAATGAGGGCGTTTCCTGAGGTGACATTTAGGGTCTCCACCAGCTTTGACATCCTAGGACTTGCTGAGCCAGGGGTGGGAGTGGCCTTTGGGTACACGGGAGGCCCTGGGGGACAATCAGAGGGGCGGGGGGCCTGCAGGGAAGCCGTCCGCTGAGGCTCAGTGCCCTCAGCTGCCATGAGGGACTGGACTCGGTGGCCTCCCGGGTCCTGCTCAGCAGCAGCACTCAGGGTCTTCGGGTCTGTCCCCGGGCCGCCTTCCCTCACCACGGCTGGGGCTGGGAATGGAGCCCGAATCCCACCTCCAGGCCACTGTCGCCAAATATCTCCCTGGAGCAGCCCTGAGCCCAAGCTACCGGTCAGGGTTGGCATCTGAACAAAATGAAACAACGGAGGTTCCTCACAGAGCCCCACCCCCCTTCTCCCCAAACAGCGCCACATCCCTCCACCTCCACCGCTGCTCCAGGCACCAGAGCCTCCTCCACGCCCGGGGCTCCTCTCCTGCCGACGCCCAGGCCTCGGTCCCACCTGCCCCTCACCCACCCCCAGGCCTCGGGCCCACCTGCCTCTCACCCACACCCAGGCCTCCGTCCCACCTGCCCCTCACCCACCCCCAGGCCTCGGGCCCACCTGCCTCTCACCCACACCCAGGCCTCCGTCCCACCTGCCCCTCACCCACCCCCAGGCCTCGGGCCCACCTGCCTCTCACCCACACCCAGGCCTCCGTCCCACCTGCCCCTCACCCACCCCCAGGCCTCGGGCCCACCTGCCTCTCACCCACACCCAGGCCTCCGTCCCACCTGCCCCTCACCCACCCCCAGGCCTCGGGCCCACCTGCCTCTCACCCACACCCAGGCCTCCGTCCCACCTGCCCCTCACCCACCCCCAGGCCTCGGGCCCACCTGCCTCTCACCCACACCCAGGCCTCCGTCCCACCTGCCCCTCACCCACCCCCAGGCCTCGGGCCCACCTGCCTCTCACCCACACCCAGGCCTCCGTCCCACCTGCCCCTCACCCACCCCCAGGCCTCGGGCCCACCTGCCTCTCACCCACACCCAGGCCTCCGTCCCACCTGCCCCTCACCCACCCCCAGGCCTCGGGCCCACCTGCCTCTCACCCACACCCAGGCCTCCGTCCCACCTGCCCCTCACCCACCCCCAGGCCTCGGGCCCACCTGCCTCTCACCCACACCCAGGCCTCCGTCCCACCTGCCCCTCACCCACCCCCAGGCCTCGGGCCCACCTGCCTCTCACCCACACCCAGGCCTCCGTCCCACCTGCCCCTCACCCACCCCCAGGCCTCGGGCCCACCTGCCTCTCACCCACACCCAGGCCTCCGTCCCACCTGCCCCTCACCCACCCCCAGGCCTCGGGCCCACCTGCCTCTCACCCACACCCAGGCCTCCGTCCCACCTGCCCCTCACCCACCCCCAGGCCTCGGGCCCACCTGCCTCTCACCCACACCCAGGCCTCCGTCCCACCTGCCCCTCACCCACCCCCAGGCCTCGGGCCCACCTGCCTCTCACCCACACCCAGGCCTCCGTCCCACCTGCCCCTCACCCACCCCCAGGCCTCGGGCCCACCTGCCTCTCACCCACACCCAGGCCTCCGTCCCACCTGCCCCTCACCCACCCCCAGGCCTCGGGCCCACCTGCCTCTCACCCACACCCAGGCCTCCGTCCCACCTGCCCCTCACCCACCCCCAGGCCTCGGGCCCACCTGCCTCTCACCCACACCCAGGCCTCCGTCCCACCTGCCCCTCACCCACCCCCAGGCCTCGGGCCCACCTGCCTCTCACCCACACCCAGGCCTCCGTCCCACCTGCCCCTCACCCACCCCCAGGCCTCGGGCCCACCTGCCTCTCACCCACACCCAGGCCTCCGTCCCACCTGCCCCTCACCCACCCCCAGGCCTCGGGCCCACCTGCCTCTCACCCACACCCAGGCCTCCGTCCCACCTGCCCCTCACCCACCCCCAGGCCTCGGGCCCACCTGCCTCTCACCCACACCCAGGCCTCCGTCCCACCTGCCCCTCACCCACCCCCAGGCCTCGGGCCCACCTGCCTCTCACCCACACCCAGGCCTCCGTCCCACCTGCCCCTCACCCACCCCCAGGCCTCGGGCCCACCTGCCTCTCACCCACACCCAGGCCTCCGTCCCACCTGCCCCTCACCCACCCCCAGGCCTCGGGCCCACCTGCCTCTCACCCACACCCAGGCCTCCGTCCCACCTGCCCCTCACCCACCCCCAGGCCTCGGGCCCACCTGCCTCTCACCCACACCCAGGCCTCCGTCCCACCTGCCCCTCACCCACCCCCAGGCCTCGGGCCCACCTGCCTCTCACCCACACCCAGGCCTCCGTCCCACCTGCCCCTCACCCACCCCCAGGCCTCGGGCCCACCTGCCTCTCACCCACACCCAGGCCTCCGTCCCACCTGCCCCTCACCCACCCCCAGGCCTCGGGCCCACCTGCCTCTCACCCACACCCAGGCCTCCGTCCCACCTGCCCCTCACCCACCCCCAGGCCTCGGGCCCACCTGCCTCTCACCCACACCCAGGCCTCCGTCCCACCTGCCCCTCACCCACCCCCAGGCCTCGGGCCCACCTGCCTCTCACCCACACCCAGGCCTCCGTCCCACCTGCCCCTCACCCACCCCCAGGCCTCGGGCCCACCTGCCCCTCACCTGGGAAGACAGACTCTGTCCCCATCACTCATGCCAGGCAGCAGAGGCAGAGGCCTTGGGGGGCAGCAGGGTGAAGTCCTCCCCCACATCCCGCTCAGCCCTGTCAGCGCCTAGAAAGCTCTCCGTGGCCAGGAAGTCAGAGGGTGTGGAGCCCACAAAGCAGTGTTCCAGCCCAAGCAGCCGAGCAGCCGAGCAGGACGTGGTCAGACGTGCCTCCCCATAGCTGCCCAGACCCCGCCCCATCAAAGAGCCCGCACGCCCCAGCCAGCCGCCTCTCCGTGATTTCCACAGCTTAGGACGTGCATTTAAACATCTCTTGGGAGATTATCATCAGGACCAAGCGTTCGCCTTGACATGGAGAGCGGTGTGAGCCTCAACATGTGCTTATTGGAAATACAGCGTAAATACACTGCGTGGCCAGATTATTATGACCACCCCATCAGTACAATGAAGTGAATTCGTTATGCAAATAATAATACAACCTTGAGAGTATTTGCTTAGGAAGTTCTCAATATTCAATATTTTGGGAAGTGTCAGTGGAGTACTGATGGGTGGTCATAGTAATCTGGCCACTCAGAGTAATGCTAGTCCACAGCCTGCTCCGCGGCTCTGAGTCTAATCAGGCAGGACAGCGCTCAGAGGATGGAATGAAAGGCCGTGCCCAGTGCATTTCCCGTGTATTTCGTGGTGGATGTGACTGTCCCATATATATTCTTCTTATGCTTCTTGCTCAGTTCCCAATTGCTGATACTAAGCAGATGCTACTTTTGAAACAATAAAAAGTAAACGCGATTATTTAGAGCAGGATCCTATATACGTACAGCTGTTCACTGTTTAGCCCTGTGGCTCCCTCACTGGCAACGTTCCAACTCTTGGTCTTTAGGCTGCAAGGGACCCAACTGCTCATCGGACCCCAACCCTCACCTTCCCAGTGAGAAGACTGGCGCCCCCAAGCTCGGTCACCTCAGCTGTGTTCCCTGCAGGGAGAATTCACATTTTCCTCCTCTGTCTTCCTCGCCACGGAATAAAGAAGCCCAGCAAAGAAACCGCAAAGGCAGGGACATCAAACCCTTAAATAAGGCAAGTCCATGCCTTGCACGTGTGTCCTTGGCAAACACGACCCTCTCCCTTCCCCTCTACTCACGGAGTCTTCCTGGCAGCTTGCAGATGCCCCGCTTGCCCTGCAGGTCCACGTGGGTGTCACATCTGGCCTGGGCCTGGGCGCCTGGAGGTGGCGTGGCTGCCGAGGGGCTCACGGGAGAGCCGGCCAGTGCTCCCTCCTAGAGAGGAGACACCCAGGCAGTCCGCAGTGAGCGCCTGGTGTAGGCTCAGCATCCCGAAAGGCGTTAAGAATTTTCCAAAGGGAAGGAGCACCCATCTCCGTGTGTGTCATGGAGGTGGGACCATGTGTGCCCTCACGTGATGCCCTGAACATCTTGCACACAGCGGACGCTTGAGACATTCATCTTCCCCAGCCAGCTTTCCGTGCCTGTGCCCGACCCACCAGAAGGCCGCCCTGGTCCTGACTTGTGAGCTGGAATCTGAAGGCCTAATAATGCTCAGTGGGAACCTGAGGGGCCAGGATAAAAGGCCTTAACTCAGAAATAAACAATGACATCCTATTTCCAACAGAGAAAAAGACAGGCTACATTTCTGAACCCCAAAGTCCCAGCAGGGACGTCTGTATCTTTACAGTTTTCCAATCAGCCTGGGCCCCAGGGAGGTGTGGCTCTCTCCTCGGGGTGAGGGGGTGGAAAGCGGCAGGGCTCTGTAGAAACAGGAGGCTCCTTGGGGCCGTGCCCAGTCACAAAAAGTGAAAGTGAAATCAAGTCACTTCTCACGCTAGGCCCTCGGGGAGCCGCACAGTCATCTTTGGTGTCTGCGGAGGGCAATCTGCAGTAAGAGACTGTGGACCTGAGCCAGCAGAGCGAACTGCAGGCCTTGGTCGCTGCAGAGGAGGGTTCAGCAGCACCTCTGGGGTAGTTCCCATCCATTTCTGGCTGCCCGCATCCTGCCCCGGCTGGTGCTGTCTCTCAGGTAACCAGCCTCAGAGGCGGTGGGGGCTGGCCCGGCGGGAGGGGGCTCTCGGCCTAGGGCTGGCCCAGGACTTCCTCCACCCTCTTTCAAGCAAGAGGACGGAAGCCCAGGCCTGTGACCGCCGTGGGGGGGAAAGGCCCACGGGAGCTGCTGAGGGAGAGGTCTGGCCTCCAGGAGGGACAGGGAGGAGTGTGCGACTCAGACATGGAAATGGGCTTGGAGAGAGGGGGGCAGAGAAAGCCCTGGAGGTGGGGTGGGGGGGCCAGCTCCCCGGGCACGGGTCTGAGGCTCCCAGGGAAATATGGCAAACGGAGAGGGGTTCTAGAGAGAGGGGCCCTGCAATGGCTGCGTGGGTCAGCTGTGAGGGTCTGGCTTGTGCAGAAACTTCCAGAGACGTCACACCTGGTTGGTGTAGGGTGAGGAGAAGGGAGGAGGGGGCAGCACCCAGAGGAGTGGGGGCTGGAGGTGAGTGAGGCGGGGAGAGTG